GAGCGAGCGAAGCTCTTTGGCGGGGTTGTAGAGGAGTTTGTTGGTCCCCTTTGTGTTGCGTTGCCGTGGGTTTGGAGAGCACATGGAGGCTTATAGAGCTTACAGTCTATTGTTCCTTTTTTTTCTTCTTTTTTTCTACTCTGAAATGGAGGATAATATTTGATTACGTTGGATGATGACTTTTTTTTCTGCTTTCGACCTCGTATCCGCTTGATGATTTACTTATTTTATGACTGGTTTGGGGCTGATGAGAAGATGTTTTGCTACGACTGATACCTCATGCTCAAATCGCATTTAAATGTAGAGTAGATGGCACAGAAGCGAGTGGTTTGCTTCTATTGCAACACCAGCGATTGAGGCGGACGGATGTCATCTGTAGATTATACAATGAATCAAAACACAGAAGCCAAAGGTGTATTACGGCTGATATAAGTCAACGCCTAGTTCCTCTCATCTAACAACTTCAATCATGATGGAAAGGCTGCGATGGTAGATCGAAGATTACCTTATTCACCGGAAAGTTCGGTCAAACCATTTAGTAGGCTAGTACTAGGGTCTAACAAAGAGAGAGTCGGCCGATGTGAAAGCCGGGTCCGGAGACTTTGAGGTCATACTCCTGTCTCGGGAAACTCGGCCTGGCTGTTGGTGTTATGGGTGTAGGTAATTGTGTGTACTTTGACGTTTAGGCTGTATGCTGTGACGCCCTCCCTACCTTAGCACCTTGGGGTAGATCATGACGATGTAAATGTGGTTGACGTCGATGCAGACAAGAGTTAAACAGGGCTTTGGTATCACATCTTTACCCCAAATCACTTTTCTGCTCCGGCAAGGTGCTCTGGCAAGGGAGAAAGAACCTCACGTGTCGCCCATAATCCTTGTATACCGTTGGAAAACAACCTGGCCGCGTTGCCTTACGGGTAGGGCGAAAGAAAGCAAGGAAACCTGATGTGCCACATTCCCCCTCGAAGCCTGCATTCAACAGTGTGGCTCGTGGGAAAGGCGGTGGCGGGGCGGGGCGGCCTTGGACGACGTAAGGGCCGCCGCTGGTCAGAAGTTCCAGAACGAGGTCTCTAATCCGCTGCCCTCCCTACTCAACCCCACCTTCCCCTTGATAACTGACAATCTGTCCCTAAGAATAAGAGAAAAAATAAATATGAAAATACTGGGTTAAGAAAAAAGGGAAAGGGAGCCGCATAGAAGGACTTTCCCCTCGTTGCAATGGTTCCAGGGCCTGGCGGTGGTCGGTCCATCGTCACGGCTTTTGCGAGGGTCGAATGAGAGGAATCCGAGGGCACGGAGGTCGAGCCCAGAATACGCGGATTCTAGACGATCTCTAGCGCGGTGGGATCCACTCGATCCTCTTTCTGGGAGACTGACCACCAATTGTGACGTCGAGATGGACGGAGGGTACGGGGGAAAAGGCCTCCCCACCTTCCATTCTCATTGAGGGGACCTGGGTCCGCACCGCACCGCACCTTCTCGTACTGTTCGTACATCATTGAACAGGGGGTGACGTCAGCGCCAGGGTCAAGCCAATGCGAGGAAGCGCGGCGAAGGGGAAAGCAAACAGAGCAAAAGCGAACAGCAAGGAGCAGGCGGGGACTTACCTGGCCGGCCCTTCCCATGTAGGCATGTCTTACTTCGTCATTGGGGCAGAATCCGAGGCAGAGATGAGATACGTATCTGTTGATGCCCCTTCCCAAGGACACGGAAGGAGTGTTGCACCGGATCAGCACCACACATGGAAGGACGTAAGGATACACAGCAAAGGGCAAGGGCGCATTGAACATATGATGGAACATGGTCAACCGTAAAGTACCTTCCTTACCTTACCTGAGAAAATGAGAGAGAGGACGGGAGCATTAGGTCCGCTCGGGTCGGCCAGAGACGCCAAAGCCCCTCCAAGACTCCAAACCAACTTGTCCATCCCGTGCCGCACAAGCCCATGATCGGTGATCCCATCCCGTTGACGCTATCCGTACTCCATACCTTACTCTGTACCCCATACATACTCCGTACTTCGTACATGCACCTTAATTCCAGCAATTACCAAGTACTGTGGCTTACGCAGCAGCTTATCCTCTTCCAAACCTGTCTTCTTCGTCCTTGACTCTTTCCTCTTAAGCCACACGTGGGGCACTATTTGCAAGTCGCCCAAAGCTTTATTTCGTCTCCATTTCTGCACAGTAATCGACCACTTACCATCACATTCATCCGCAGACCACCAAACAGCATCTACCTTGCTTCCCCACGAACACTCCCCTTTGCCAACGCCTCGGTCGCGACCGGACCCCGACGACAAATCTACACTACACCAACCTCGCTACCTTTTGACACTTGAAAATCTCCGTCCGCATTTCCCCCTTCACCAGCACCGCCAGTCCAGTCTCTACACTACTCGGTTTCGTCGGACGACCTGGGCTATGACATCTTCTTAAACACGACACATTTCCGTTTCGCCCTCGACGCCAACCGCCACCCTTGGACACAATGGCACCGCACCATGAGCCCTTCAAAGGCCTCGCGCCTATCAAGTGGGAATCTGTCGCCGAGGAGGACCCAAAAGAGTTCATGACCGACGTATTCGCCAACGCCCAAACAGTCATTGACTCCATTCCCGTCCCCGCCGCCGTCAAGCAGGCCACGGCTTCCCACGGCCGCTCCCGCTCTCACACCGATCCCCCGATACCTGTCGCCGACATCAACCGCTCTCTCTCTCAGCGCCAAACCGGTGCTGCGCTGAAGTTGTCGCAGGACCTGTCCAAAGAGTGGAAAGAGGTCAAGGTCAATGCCAAGGACAACCCGCTAGCGATCAACGTATATAAGCTTGCCGCCAAGGACGGCAAGGGCAGCTGGTTCGCTCGGCGCAGTGTTCACGATGGTTTGACTTTTGAAAAGTGGAAGCTGGGCCTCGAGAGAGAGTTTGCCGAGTCCATGAAGGTGCAGAGCGGGCCCGGCGCCGGCGCCATCCGCGGCATTGGAGCAGAGAAGCGGGCGGCACACGAAGTTGTGGAAGGCTCTGGGAAAATGGAAGGTGAGCTTGGATAACACCACTTGAGACTCTGGCACCAAATACTGACAACATCTGCCCAGTATTCCAGTTATCGGCGCAATTCCCAGGCCCGACGGCTCCGAGAGACTTTGTGACGCTACTGTTGAGTTCCGACTTTTCCGGCGGCGCCCCGCAGGAGGGTGGTAGGCGGCTGCTCCGGACGTACATGATTGTATCGAAACCATGCGTTCATCCCGAGTGCCCCGAGCGACCAGGCTACATTCGAGGTCAATACGAGTCGGTTGAAATCATTCGCGAGATCCCGTCCGATAAGCCGGCTGCCATCACGCGAGCGCGATCGTCGATTGATCTCAGCCAGGAAGGCGCCAAAGAACGACAGGCTGTAGCTGAGTCTATGGGCAAGGAGGCTGTTCTACGGGCAGCGAGGAAGGCGGCAGATGCAGACGGCCGTCATCGAGGTGCATCTGTCGACAGTGCACCGGCCAGAAACGACGCCGGGCACACCGGTGAAGGCGTCGAGGAGGACGCGACGACGTCAGTTGAGTGGCTCATGGTTACACGTAGTGATCCCGGCGGCAATGTGCCCCGATTCTTGATTGACCGAGGTACACCGGCCGGCATCATTGGAGACGCTGGCAAGTTCCTCAAGTGGATGACTGCAAAGACCGCAGACGAATTTTCAACTTCAGATACCGAGCAGGAGGAGACGAAGCAAGGCGCTAAGCAGGCCGAGAGCGAAAAGGTCGCTTCTCCCATGGAGGTGGCCAAGCAACCAACATCGAACCTATTGCCCGAAGAGTCGGCACAGGTGCAGGACAATTCAGTTCCGAGTAGTAACGGCCTGTACGGCATCATCTCCGGCGCTTTCGGAATGGCCAGCTCCGTTGTTGCTAGTCGCCTAGCAGATGGCTACGCACTCCCCGGAATATTCACTGCACCGAGCACCAACGGCTCGATAGCGGAGGAAGACGAGGATGAGTCAGCTGAAAGCGACACATCGTCCATCCGAAGCTTCGCTTCAGCAGTCGAGAAGACGGACGAGGGTGAGGCCGTCACGCCACCAGAGGTCACACAGCCCGACAGCATGTCGCTTCACTCGTCCGGCTCCGGCGGCGGTGCGTCCCTCCAAGGAGGCAAAACGTCTTCGCACCACGAGAGGGAGCTCAGGAAACTCCAGGAGCGGCGGCAAAAGATGCAAGACAAGATCAACAAGATGCAGGAGCGCATGTCTAGTAAGCGTGATCAAGACTCGCAAAAGGAGGCTGCCAACCTGGCGAAGCTCCGCGAGAAGCACGACAAGGAGATGGCCAAGCAGGAGGACAAGTACAGGCGCGACATGCAACGTCTCGAGCAGCGCCGCGAGCAGGAGCAGCGCAAGGCGGAGGAGAAGCGGCGGAAGCAGGCGGAGAAGGAAGAGAAGGGAAACCTGGCCCTAGAGCTCGAGCGCGTCAAGGCGGAGCGGGACGTGGCGCTCAAGGAGATTGACGTTCTCAAGGAGCAGGTGGGACAGCTGCAGAGCCAGAATACCATGCTGGTGGTTAAGATGGGCAAGATGGGCGGTTTGGGCGGTATGAAGAGGCAGGACTCGACGTTGAGTGTACCCGGAGAAAAGGTGGTTCAGACCGTGTCCAACTAGGGACTGTGTAAAAGGTACGACAACGAGAGAGAGAGAGAGAGAGACATGTTGGCTGCAGGACAGGATAACCCAGCTTGATGCAGACAGAGATCTCTGTAGGCGGAACGGAGATGACGAATGAGCATCCAAACGGCGTTCGGGGCGTCTTAGCCTTCCTTTTATAGCCTTTTCTATTTACTTTTTTATCTTTTTTCATGTCTATTTTCCATGTACCTTTTCCAAAGCATTTGTACACGAAGCATCTAAACGAACTTGAACTTCCCCCCCCCCCCCCCCATTTAGCTAAGCCATGCTTTTTGTCCTTCACGTCATCATCCCGTCTTGATGTGAATGACAAAACTCTACGGAAAATCATGTATCCATCATCTCCAACAACAATCCGTGAAGTCTCCCCCGCTGACCCACGCTCCGCAACTGTACCAACTTTTCCTTGAGCGCCTCGGATCCGTCGTCGCCGTTGACGGCGTTGACGGAGCCGACTTGAACGAGCGCCGCCGCGGCGAGGAGGACGCGCGCGCAGACTGCGTAGACGTCTGGGTCTGATGTCCAGCCTAGGGGTCCGTCGTCTAAGTGGTCGGGTTGGGATGTGAGGGTTAGGAGGGCGTCTAGGCCGGTGGAGGTCCAGGTTGTTAGGGCTTTGTGGGCTGTTGACGTGGAGACTGTAGGTGAAGAGGAAGAAGACGAAGAAGAAGAAAAGACGTCTTGGAGGACTGCGGCCCAGCGCTTCGATTCGCGGACTTCGTCGATGAAGAGGTTTTGTTCTTCGATTGCGAAGAGGGAGTCGTCGAAGTGGAGGGCGGAGGCGAGTTGGGAGTCTGCTGTGGTGGTGGTCCATTGGGAGGTGTTGTTGTTGGCGGTGTCGGTCTCGTCTGAGGCGTGCTGCTGCTGCTGGACCTGGCCCGTGAGACGGGATGCGAGGAGCGCGTGGAGGGCGGGACTGGCGCGGTGGGTGGCGGAGATGTGGGATAGCAGCGCCGAGGCGGCGTCGATGGGCGCGAGGGGGCGGGCGAGTATGTGTTTTGCGGAGAGGGAGGCGAGGTCGCGGACTTCGTCGTCGTCGTCGTTGAGGGCGTCGTAGAGGGCTGTGAGGACGGGGAGGAGGGGTGCCGCTGCGTCGTCGTGCTGCTGCTGGTCTCTGGTTGAAGATGCTGGGGTGGTTGAGGAGGAGGAGGAGGAGGAGGAGGAGGAGGAGGAGGAGGAGGAGGAGAAGAAGGAGGCGAGAGAGGCTGCTGCGGCGATGCGGGTGTCAAAGGGGCGGGAGTCGTGGAGGGCCGAGGACATTAGGTTGCCCCAGCCGCGGAGGGATTGCGCGGTGGATGGGGAGGCGATGGGGGATTGAGAGACGAGGGATGCCATGATGGGGCCGCTGGCGCGGGTGATTGCGTTGGAGAGGTTTGGGTTTATTGTTCGCGCGAGGAGGTCTTGCCAGAGCTGTGTCAGGGTCTCGGCGGCGGGGAGGAGGTTTGAGAGTTGTGAGGCTGCTGCTGCCAGGACTTGGTCGAGGACCTCTGTTAGGTTGACGAGGGCCGCGGCGCAGGAGTCTGGGTGCGTTGCGGAGCGGGCTACGTCGGTGTAGAGCGCGGCGTAGGATGCTGCTTGCTCGGGGGACAGACGCGGGTGGTGGACGGAGGCGAGGGTTTCGAGGGTTGTGATTGTTGTCTCTACGCTGCTTGTGCTTGTCGAGATGAGGGTTTCGCGGAGGGAGGTAGAGGGGGAGGGGGAGGGTTGGGCGGCGTGGACTGCTGCGATGGCGATTTGGGTGCGGAGGAGGGCGCTTTGTGGGGTTTGTGAGATTGTGGAGGAAGCAGCGCTCTGCGATGGCGATGACGAGGGGTGAGAGAGGGTGAAGAGGGAGATGAGGTTTTGGACTTCAAGGTAGGCGGCGCGAATGTCTGGGCAGGAGGCAAAAGAGTCGGACGCGCTGGTTTCCAGATCAGTGAGGATCGAGACCACGCGCGGGAGGCCAGACGACAGCCTCTGGGGCGAGACATCAGCGAGCCGCTCAAAGACTGCCTTGACGGTCAGCAGGCCGCCGTGGATGTGATTGTTCCTGCTCGCGGGCGCCGCGGCGAGGGAGTCGTTGATGATGGCCTCGGCGAGGCGGACCCAGTCGTCGTCTTTCAACAAGAAAGAACACAGCGCGCGGGCGGCCATCTCCCGCACGTGCCAGACGTGGCTGGCGAGGTAGCCCGCCACGAGGCCGTACAGCTCGTCGCGGGAGGCGTCGGGGGGTCCGGCACGGCGGATGATGTCGAGGGCCGGGAAGACGGACTCGGCGGCGATGGTGCTGCCGAGCGTCGTCGGCTTCATGACCTCGCGGCCGGAGCGGAGGAGGTTCAAGAGCACCGAGGGCAGAATGGGAAACTTGTGGTACTGCAGGCGGGTTGTGCGGCCGTCCCAGCCGGCCTCGAGGGTGGCTTTACTCTCGTTTGTGCCAAAGAGGTTGTCGAGGAGGGAGCGGAGGAAGAGGAGGCCGCAGTTGCGAATGCCCCAGACCTCGGACTTGAGGCTGCCGGCGGCGAGGTCGAGGCACTGCGGGATGTGAGGCGCCGACTTGCCGAGCTGGGTGATGAAGGAGCTCTTGAACATGTCCTTGAGGCAGTTGAGGGCGTGGACCTGAGGCAGCTTGGAGCCGTCCGACTCGGAGTTGAAGGCGGGTTTGCGGGCGATGGCGACGAGCTCCTCGATGACGACGTCAAAGGAGGGCTGGGCCGCGTTGGCGGAGACGATGCCTGTGATCATGGCGGGGATGCCGGCGGAGCGGCGGGTGGTGGACGCTTGGGAAAAGATGCATTCCTTGGTTCCTCTGTACCAGACGTCGAGTAGGGTCTCACCGTTCTCGTGGCCTGCTTGAGGGTCGTCGAGGTGCTTGACCAGCTGGCAGCAGGTTGCGAACGACAGCGAGACTGTGTTGAAGGCGCCGCGGTGTCTGAGGCTTGAAAGCTGGTCAAAGGTTAAGGATCCGACGGTTGTGAACAGGTCGGTGGAGGGTTGTAGGATTCCCTCCTTGGCCTTGGACTTGAGAGGCAGCACCATGACTCGCATCAGAGCACTGGTGAAAATGTTAGCTGGGATAGATCATGTGGTAGAAGCTCTTCTATTTCTTACCTAGACTCATGGATGGCGCGGAAGCTGTAGCTCAGCAAGTCCTTGGTGTCGAGACCCTCTAGATCTTCCAGCTCCTGAGGCAAGTGGCCCTCGGGTGAGTCGTCACACAGGATGTCCCTGACCGCAGCCCAGATGCGTTGACAGCACTTGACAATGCGGTTCTGTAGGGTAGTCATCGCCTCCATCTCGGACGGCGAAAAGTTCATGTCAGCCGCAGCTTGCCAGATGTACCTAATTCTTGGTCAGTCCACAACTCCTTTCAAACGAATCGCAGTATTTGATGCACCCACCGGAGAGAAGCAAAGTAGCCGTGCACCGGCGCCTCCAGAACGGCATTGCCCAGGTCGGCCTCTGCAAAGGCAAGCTTGCCCTCGAGAAGGTCCATCAACTTTGAGATATGTGCAATCTGCGCCTCCCTACCGTCGTAGAATCTAAAGAGAAGCTCGTTCGTTCGAGCGACACCATCAGCGTGATCGGCTCGTGCCGTTCTCCGTGCAACATCCTCGGCTCTTGACAAGAACTCTTCCAATGTCGGCGAGACCCCCTGAGTTCCAACGAGACACTTGAAGCGCTTGTCGGCGAACAAGCTCTTGAGGACGGAGGTGCCGTTCTCACGAACGTCATCGAAGGGGTCCATGATGAGGTCAAGCAGCGCGCGCGTCCACTTTCCGTCAAACAGGTTGAAGAAGAGCGTCTCGTCCTCCTCCGTCTCCCACGTCTTGCCAGCATCGGCTTCGAGTTTGAGAATAAAGGCGACGGCCCTTAGCGCGGTGAAGTGCCGCTGGAAAGAAGCCGTGGGAATCAGCTCCGACCGCAAGAAGGCGATATACCACGCCAAGAAGTCTTCATGCTGCTTCAAGCTCACGCGAAGCTTGTCCTCGGGCCAGCGCAAGATGTTGGTGCGGTGGTTCGCCTGCTTCGGCGGCGCCTTGGGGGCCTTTGGCGCACCTTTGGCGGCGCCGTCAAAGGCTTTGAGACGGGCCAAGCTCTTGTGCAAGATGAAGATTGCGCCTCTGCTGCGCTTGAACATGTCTTTGAGCTTGCTCAGCAGTTCCATGCGGAACTTTGCGTCCGACTCTGAAAAGTACGTAGGGAGGTGGGCTTGCAGCAGGCGGAGGGCCACTGGTGAGTAAGGCCTCGTTGTCGAAGGGGAGGCGACGATCAGGGACAGCGCCAGCGAGCGGAGCTCATGGGAAGGATGCGACAAGACTCTCTCGAGCACGGCCTCTTCCAGGACTACTGCTGAGGAAGACTCCTCTTTGTAAATGGCACCAGGCTCCTCGACCATGCCTACCTTTTTGCCGACCTCGAGCACGGCAAGGTTCAGCTGGGCCAGAGTGTCTAGTTCTGCCACGGCCGAGCCAGAGGTAGACCACATGCTGTTGATCTGTTCCAGGATCTGGACCGAGTCCTTGCGGTCATCCTTGAATAACGGAAGGAAAACATATGTCTTGATGCCCTCGAGTAGAGACGGCGTCTTGGCAATGGCAGCCTGTACCCAGCGAAGCCACGTTTCGACGCTGAACTGTTCGGCGCCTGCAGCTTGTGGTGTCTTTAAAGACTGCTGTCTCAGTGCCCTGAAGATAGTCACGATGAACTTGCCCGTGGTCGGACACACGTAGTGCATAGTCATCCAGTCAAGCATCTGGCCGAAAAAGTCCTCCCACAGGGCAATGTCCGACGCCCAGCTGCACTCGGGCTGCGTCCGCCTATAGCTTGCCGCGATATCGTCGACGCTAAAGACGGACTTGCCGGCAAAGTAGTCCATGGCCTTCAGCGATGACTTGACCAGAGGCTTGGTAGACTGCGGCCCGATGATGTTAATGAGGGTATCCAAGATGGTCGTCTTGACCAGCTCGGAGACGGCATGGTCGGGGTTGCGGCGAATGAGCGAGGGGAGCAGGTCCAGGACCAACTTCATGGACCGGTGCTGCTCCGTTTCATTCCATTTGATGAAGAAGTTGAAGAGGCCTAGGCTGGGTTCTTTGGAGAAGGCCCATTGCCGCAGGGCCTGCTTATCGGACTTTGAGCTTTGCTCGACAAATCCGCAGAGCTTCACGCACGCGTTGCCCGAGATTCCCTTTGGCTGAGCGGCCAGGGAGAGGAGGTGGTCAAAAACATTTTGCGCGATGCTACGGGCACAAATGATGTTAACGAACTATTACATGTGGACCACATCTTGGAGGGGTAATGAAGGGGGGGGGGGAACTCTTACGAAATCCACGATTCCTCGGGCTGCTCTTCAACCCATTTGAGCAGGTCAGTCGGGTTGACGAAGCTCTCGTACTGGGGAACGGTATCCTGCTTCATCGCTATCTCATAATTGGCGAACCCGGCGAGTGACTCTGGGAGTAAGGTAAGGTAGAATGAGGGGCACCGAGGGGCAACGGCGAAGCGAATGAGTGCTGGCCGAGTGAGTAACAGGGGTGTGTTTTTTCTTTCGTCTGTCGTGTCTTCAACTCGGCGTGTAAGTAACGGAATCGAGTGCACCCAAATTCCTGATTCGCTCCGGATCTTACATAAGAATCTCCGATTCGGGAAGGCTTCGTCGCTGAAGGTACTATTGGATGTATTGGACACAGGGAATAATGTACGGAGTAGGTACCACGAAATTTCAGCAAGCGGCTGACAGCATTGACTCGGCGCGCCGGCGAGGACTCATCGCGGGGCACCAAAGCGCCAGGGTCCCGACTCTCTCTCTCTCTTTCTCCTTTTTTTTTTTTTTTTTAATCTTGGCGCTGTCTCCCGCTAGCCCCAGTGACATTCAGCCAATCGCCTGCATCTTCTGGAACGTCGCGCGCACGGTCCACTCCACCCACACACGGGTGGTGTGGCCAAACTTTTTCCCTGCCCTAATTGTGAAAAAGAAGAGGCGCCCCGCCAAAATTCGTGTCGCCTTCTGTTCTTTCCCCTTCAACCCCATCATCATCATCATCCAACATCTACCGTAAGCACCAGATTACTGGGAGATATCGCCAAGATGTCGAAAATTACGGTTGCCAACGTCCGCACTCAGGTCTCTGAGCTGCTCGAGTACTCTCTCGAGACCAAGAAGCGCAACTTCCTTGTCAGTTTTACCCTCCAGTCCCCAATTGAGCGCCCCTTCAATTGAGCGCGATATTCGTGCGACCGAAAGCAGAAGCAGAAACACAAAGCTAATACCCCTCACAGGAGTCTGTCGAGCTTCAGATCGGCCTCAAGAACTATGACCCCCAGCGTGACAAGCGTTTCTCCGGCACCGTCCGCCTGCCGGTCGTCCCCCGCCCCAACATGAGCATCTGCATTCTCGGTGACCAGCACGATATCGATCGTGCCAAGCACGGCGGTGTTGACGCCATGTCCGCCGACGACTTGAAGAAGCTCAACAAGAACAAGAAGCTCATCAAGAAGCTCGCTCGCAAGTACGACGCCTTCGTCGCTTCCGAGACCTTGATCAAGCAGATCCCCCGTCTCTTGGGTCCCGGTCTGTCCAAGGGTATGTTAACCACCACGACATATATCAAAAAAAAAAAAAAAATCTGGCCCTGTCTAACATTCAATACAGCCGGCAAGTTCCCCACCCCCGTCTCCCACGCCGACGATCTCTCTGGCAAGATCACCGAGGTCAAGTCCACCATCAAGTTCCAGCTGAAGAAGGTTCTCTGCATGGGTGTCGCCGTCGGCAACGTCGGCATGACCCAGGAGCAGCTGATTGCCAACATCATGTTGGCCATCAACTACCTTGTCTCCCTGCTGAAGAAGGGCTGGCAGAACGTTGGAAGCTTGACCATCAAGGCTTCCATGTCTCCCCCCAAGCGCCTCTACTAAGCGCAGCCCTCTTCTGGGACTTGTGTTGGTGTTTCTTTGCGAGGGGGGCCCTTGTACTGGGTATAGAGTACCGCTCGGGTTGGTTATGTCGATGGCTTAAGTGCTTATTCGCGTAACGATTTACCCAAAGGCGGGAACAACTTTGTTCATGGGCATTTCATAGGAAGCTCTGCGCATGGATTAGGAGCCTGTCAATACAAAATCATCCTTTTCCAAACCATTAAACATGTCTCAATATGCATCAGTGAACCGTGACATCTATAAAACAGTGCTTGTCAACATGGGGTTGCCAAGCTCCAGTCTAGGCCTGATTGCTCAACGCGGTGCCGGACACTTGCTCACATACACACAAAGGGGCTGGCTCCTTGCCAAATAACTAACCGTTAGTCCGTACATCCTCCCATACATACAACGCTCGGAGTGTCGGTAGGGGAAACGCGAAAGATTGATGTTTTTTTTTCTTTTCTGATAGTACAAGGTAAGAGTGCCTGAAATCACAGGATTGCCAAACTCCATACATGGCTTGATGTTCTCAGTGGCGAAAGCAACAACAAGATAGCTCGTCGTAATGGGTACGATGGGGGGCGGGGAAGGGCTAACCGTCAAGTTATCGAGTAGAGCCCCAATCATAACTTTGCATGAAACCAAAACCGAATACGTCGCAAGCATCAAGAACCAAAGCCGCGTCCTTGGCAGCCCTGTCAGCCTCGTTGTTGAACTTGCGCGGGATATGCCAAAAGTGGACATTGACGCCGTGATCGTGAAGCATCTCGACGGCGAGCAACAGAGCCTCCCACAGGTCCCGATTCTTCACGCCTTCGCCGCGGCTTGTTCGCCAGCCCTTGCTAATCCACGAGCGCGCCCAGTCGGTAGCGCTGTTCACGACGTAGCTCGAGTCGGTGGCGATGACAAGACTTTTCAAGCCCTCGCTCCACCAGGACTTATACCGGAGCGCGGCGAGAGCGGCGCGCAGCTCGGCGCGGTTGCTGGTGTGGCGGTACGTCAGGCCGTCCAGCCCCTTGTCCTCGAGCTTCATAGCCACAAGCCCGCTCTTGTCGCTGCCGCGGACCGGCTTGAAGTAGAAGGCGTAGCCGCCGCGGGCCTCGGCGTCGCCGTTGTCGAGGCAGGATCCGTCGGTGTAAATGAGAGCTTCCGTGGTGTTGTAGCGGTTGATGAAGCGAAAGGCAGGTGGCGAGGCCATCATTGAGATGGTCGGGGGAAAGAGGTCTTTGGGTTCCAAGGGCAACATCGTCTCCGGGCTGTACTGGGGGTTGAACGTTGTGGCAAACAACGTGCCGGAGAAGTTGGTTCTCTCGGGAACGCGGCTGGGGCCCGAAGCTATCTTCGGGCCTTCCCCCATACGAGTGGTGGAGGTCAGATCATCGTCGTCGATGAGGGGCGGCGGACCATCGTCGTCGATGAGGGGCGGCGGACCATCGTCGTCGATGAGGGGCGGCGGACCATCGCTGCTGTCGCCATCTTCTTCATCCCTAGTTGACTGTAAGCGTGCTGAACGTCCCCGAGATCCGCTCGCAACAGTTCCCTCGGGACGGTCGAACCGGCTGTTCGCAACCTGAGCGAAGCTGACATACCTAGGAGAGGGAGAGCCTTCCTCCCCATACCCGTCCAAGTAAATGTCGAATTCATCGCCCTCCAAGTCGAGGCTGAAGTCAAAACAGCATTTTCCGCAGGTGACCAGATGGTGAGTTGCGCAAACGGTGATGATTCGCCCGCTGGGCAGCTCGAGGTAGTCAATCTCCGGCTCGAACATTTGGCACTGCAAGCAATCCGATGAGATCCAACGATGAAAGATGGCAGATTGTAGTCGGCAGGCAAGCAAGGCAGCTCGAGCTCTTCTAGCTTGTGGTGGGAGCTTTCGTTTTGAAGTTGGGATGACTGGGCGGAGGTAAGCTTGATGAAACCTTGGGGAGAACCTACTTACCCACGCCAGCGGGTGCTCAACGAGCAAACGAACACACCACCCGTGCAAACGAAAACCACCCAAACGAACAAAGGTAGCCCTCTTGAGCTAATCCTTAGTGTTCAAATTCTAAGAAAACTAGGAATCAACATGTATCACAAAGCGAGGTAGCAAGTGGAAGACATGTATAGTAGAAAGTGGCTTGATTCCTCTAAGTGGAAGATCCGTATGAGGGTCATATGTATATACCGTACAAGACGGGTAATCGGCTTGTGGAAAGCGGTATCGTACGGCAGTAATCGGCAGCGCCACGTGTGGCGCTGCGACAACATGGTCAACAGAAGACCTATGGCAAGATTGTTCTAAGGTAAGATCTATTTAGTAGAAGAGTTGGGGTTTTAGATATACTGAGTCACCTATGGATTTTTTTTTTGAATGGGCAATATGCTCGTTTGGCTCATATGCACCCGTTGGCGCGGGTGTAGGGATTCGGAATCAGGAGTCGAGGGGCCATGGCACGATTAGCAGTTTCCGAAAGCATATCATCTTGGCCACATGACCTCAGCTGCCTTGAGTAGTGCCTTGCCATCCGGACTTCATTATGGAAGTCAGCCTCCGGACAGAAACTTTTTGCGTCCCTGGTCAAGTATCGACAGCAATGTCTCAACCCCCGTTCGTCCCGGTCCGCTTCGATAGGCATGCCATGTAGAAAGGAGAAAGAAAATTGGAGAGAAGGAAGACAAAAAAGAGAGAACAACACAATCCATCTCGTTGGCGTTGCAGCTTCCCGTCCTGACAGTGCTGAGGACCGCGTTTGCCATGCTTCGCCCAAAGCTGTTTGTAGTCTCTTACGGAGCTTCGATAAAGCTCATAGGCACCTTACGTCAGTCGATTCTAGAGCTACTTTGACTAGGTAGCTTGCTGTGCCTCGCAGATTCAGGGGCTCCCTTATTCTGTGCAGGAGATTGTTGAGTAAATGATAGGAAGCACGGATACCTTGAAGGACGACATACCAATGTGAGCTACTATTCAGGTGCTACCACGAGATTGCCTACCACGACTTCGAATAAGTAAGAATCTCATCAATTACTCCGTACTGATACACAGAATGACACACAGGCTCGACTATTTCAGCAGCATGGGTATATTGACAGTTTCAACAGAAAGCACGGAAACGAAAGTACATAGCAATTGCAAATGATGTATTCAGCTGCATTCGCAGGCGGCGCACGCAAAACACCCAACCACCGCAGGGGATATCCATCCCCCGTAAGCCAATATATAGCCATGCCTAAAGCCAATTGAAACGCACCCGCAACAATGAAGATGAAACTTTTTGTACACTCCTGCCCTCAATCAGTCGCTCTCGTCGATATCCATCGACTCCTGGGCGGCCCTCCCACGCGTGCTCCGCGCCGACGTCCTCGTCGCTCTCGGGGCAGGCTTCTCTTTGGCTGCAGGTCGGGCTGGCAGTTTAGTCTTGGCTGCTGCTTTCGATGCTGCTGCTGCCGACCTGCCCTTCCGTCCGTTAGATTTGGGCGGTGGCGTAGCTTCTTCCGGCTCTTCCTCGTCATCTGCTTCAACTTCCTCCTTCTCTGGTTCTTCTGCCGGAACGTCCTCGACCTCGGACAAAGGGGAGTCATCACCGCTGTCGTCCGCAGCAGCTGTTGGCTTCTTAGACTCCTCGCCATTTTCTTCCTCATGGGGTTCCGAGAGAACCGAAGAGTCGTCATCATCGTCCGACACCTCCTCACCCGTCTGTTCTCCATCCTCATTCTCGTACGTCCACTTGCTGACACCATCCCACATCTCACGGTCGTCGTCAGATGAGTCGCGCTCGGTATACTTTGATACAGTAGTCGTAGCAGCACGACCGCTGCGTCTCCGGTTTTCCAACGGGATGTCAGACTCGCGGCGTGGGGCCTTGACCTTCGCCGGCTTCTTGACCTTCTGCTTCTTCGGCTTTGGCTCCCTTGGTGCCTTGGGCTCCTTGACCCTCGGGGCTGACCTTGCCTTCTTGGCAGGATGATGGTCTCCGCGATCATCTGTGGACTTTCTCTTCTGTAATTTTGTAAGCCCAAAAGTCCAAAGGACATGGGAGAGGGGATTAGCTTACCTTCTTTCGATCAATTGATTTGAAGAGACCATCCAATTTCTCGTCAATCTCTGACGGCAGGTACTGCTTTTCGGCGATCTCCTGGGCAACCTGGTGTGAAGGCAACGCAGTGTAGAGGCCGATCGGCAGGCCGACCTTACCCGGGAACGCTTGGAAACTCCAATTCTTCCTCTCCTGCCATTTCCTTACAACGGCCTGGGCCAAATCGCTGACAATGTAGAGGTTTTCGCTCGCCTCTGGGCTGATGGCATCGCGAGTCTGCTTTACCCTCTCAGCGTACTTGTAGATGAGTCCCAGGTTGTCTTCTGTTGCCACATTTGTGAGATAGTACAGAATATAGCGGCCATGGTCCGCAAGGTCACTGGCGTAGGAGCTCAATTCCTCCTCACTGGCATCGTCAATATTCTCTGGCTTGTTGAAGTCGGGATGGTGAGCCAGCAAAGATATGAGTCGCCCCATAATCGCCTCCATAGGGCGCTGTTCACTCGCCTCCAGTGCGCGAGCCCGAGATCGAATCCAGGTCTCAACGCGCTGCTTCAGATCGCTGTTTGGCTCGAATGCCGTCAAGAAGATGACGGTGTAGAAGCGTGTCCGAAGCTTGTTCTGTACCAAATACTTTTGGAGTTTCTCGATAAAGCCCCGGCGGACAGTCAATTCGGTATCCTGCGCCGTAAACGCGAGACGGTTGAAATCAGCCGGTGTCAGGAAATCGTCGAAATGCTTGATGGTGCATAACTTCAGCAACAGCTGAGCTGCCAGCAGGCGAAGTCGCGACTTGTGGTGATTGGGCGTATCCTTCGTCTTGCAGAGCTCTCCTCTCTTTGCGACCAATGTCTTGAGCAGCTTGAAAACAGGTACAGCCTTCTCTTTGGCCTCTTCGACATCGTCCATACTACGCAGTCGGTTGACGAGAATATGCAATGACAGGCACTTCGCTTGCAACTCCTCGTCCACGCTGGCGTTATCCACCCACTCGGGGTCTTTGTCGGTTGCGTCTGTTCGGACCTTGAGCAAAATTTGCTGCACCGTCATGTTGAGGATGTCGTCGTCTGAATCGAGGGTGATCTTGGGCACTTGCAATTCCAGCTGTGCGACAGATTGAAGCTTGTTGAGGAAGTGCGATGAGCCGTAGGTCCAGTCTTCCATGATCTTCTCCAACAAGCTGGTTGCACTGACCAGACCCTTGTCGTCGCCCCTGGCCAGGAGAATCTTGATGGCATACTTGGCAGACTTCACGGGCCGTCCATACAAAGCGTAGCTAACAAGCGCCTGGGAAAACTTTCGGTCTTGAGGAATCTCTTCTGGGTACTTTTTCGAGTATGAGGCACAAGCTTTCAGGGTATCGACAACGTTGGAGTCGTTCTCGTTCGTCTCCGTCGGAGCTTGCTCGACGAGACCCTTGCACAGCCCTCCCACATGGGTCTTGAAAAGCTCAGGGTTGCGCTGTGAGATCTCGTTGAGAATCTCGTGGGATACGGAGCCCAGGCCGTCCTTATCGTTCCTCGAGTAATCGAGGATCGTTGCAAGGTGGCTGCGGTTGAACAACAAGCAAGCCGACCGGTAGAGAAGCGGCAAAAGCGTGTCCAGGACAGTCGAGTTCTGGCTTGCATTGGTGCGCTTGACCAGTTCCTTGATGGCTTGTCGAACCGTCTTGTAGTCGCTCTCGGCACTGACTGAGAATTTGACGAGCTGGTAGGCGCGTCGGTCATTCGCATTGGCGAATTTCTGGAGGTCGGTCTTCACTTTGAAAGGGTCTGGGAAGAACTGTACGATGTACTGCACTGTCCTCTCCAGGTTCGCCGTGACCTTCGAGCGATTGTCGTCAATCACACCTCCGTTGTAGCTCTCGCACTGCTTGACAAAGGCTTCAAGCACCTGGGCAAACTGAGGTTGCCGACCTTGCATAGCCATGAAGGCTCTCTTCGCCGCTTGATCCAGAGACTGGGTAAGGAGGAGAATTCTTTCCGCACGAATGCGGTCCTGGTCAGCAACGCCTGCGTTCTGAGAGCTTTGGGACGCCCCTCTGGTACTTTTAGGCGCCTTAATGGGAGGATAGGACAGAGGTACCAGGCACTCAAAGAGTACACGATCAAGGAGGATGTTGAGCTCGGAGTCGTTCGCGTAAAACGCGTTGAAAATGCGCGATGGAATTCCAGAAAGGGCGGCAACGACGCTCTCCTGTCCAGCAGCCAGCTCTCCTGATCCAACGGCCCAGAGTTTCGCGAGCAACGTCATTGCATCGACTCGAACAGCAGTGCGCTTGTCTCGACAACGATCGGCAAGACTGCTGAGAACAGAGCCGTCCTTATCCACGCCGCCTGGCGCAGCCAGCTTGGAGATGAAGTCGCGGAAGCTGAAGAGCTCCATCACTTTGACGGCAGCCAACCGGACCTTTTCGTCTCCATCGTTGAGCTTCTCTCCGAGATGCTTCACCAATTCGGACTGTTCCTCGCGACTGAGACCAATTCCGCCTGCTTCGGTGGCCAGAATGTAACCGACAGCGTTGGTCCAAGCTGCTCGAATGGTCGCCGTCTTATCGTTCCTCCTGCCCAAGAAATGGTTGTATGCGGAAGAATGAGTTTGCGCAAAAGACTGGGGCGAAAGAGGTGTAGTGAGGACGCTATCGGAGATCTGACTGGGAGCCTCATCGGCCAAGCGCAAGGGAGGGTACTGAGCAGGGTCCAACACGGGTGGCGGGGGCGGTCCAGCAGCACCAAGTCCAGAGATCATATCTCCAAGCGTTTCGGTGGCCAGCTGTCGAAGATCCACATTGTCGGCCGATAACTCTGCCTCGACCTGTGGTATGACATTTTGAAGAACTGATGGCGATGCGCGCCAGAGTTCTCTGATGAGATAGTGGGCCTTCCTGAGTTCCTTCAATTCTGCATCGGTGGGACCCCTAGGGGCATCCTCGTCCTCTTCGTCTTCGTGCGATTTTCCAACCGTCTTCGCCGCGAATCGAGATGCGTCGAGAATGACATCACTGAAGTACTGACTTACATAGTGTACCATCTTCTCCGTACACACATTGCAGATCTCCTTGGCCATGATGTACGCAGGGGGCTCGTCCTTCGGCAGCAAGGTCGACTGGTTGCCGTTTTGCTCGCTACGCTCTGTGCGGCTCTGGAAGCCGCCCGGGGGTGCCGCTCTAAGGAATTGGGCCATAATTACTTCAATGACCTTGGGGTTCATGCCAGACGCCTCGTCAACCAAGGCAATAAGCATTTCTGTCATGGTGTTGCCGACCTCCTTCGAGACACCCTCTTCTGGACCCGAGTTCGAGCTTCCAGACACTCCATCGAAGAAGACTGAGAAGAGCTTCAGGAGCATGTCGTCGGCACCGTCGATGTCATTGATTAGGAGGATACTTTTGACGTCGGTCAGAGCCGTCAACACATATTTGTGCTGGCTGTGATAAGGGTGGGTTTGGTCGCTCAGCGAAGGGAAAACGTGCGTAACGACCAGATTGAAGAACATCTATTGTACTCGTCAGTGAGAGCTCTGGGTAGCTCGATATCAATGGCTTACCTTGGTCTGATCCGCGGTGAACGGCGCGTCAGGCGCACACAGGCGCAGAATGTCTGCGATACACACAGCCGCGTACGCTCTCACGCCCTTATCCTTGTGGGCTAGCAGATTGCGTTGACCCAAAGCATGAGCAACATCATTGAGAGATTCAACATCCGTAGTGTCCTGGTCCAGACCCCCAAGCTCCTCGGACAGAGCCTGCAGACGGTTCAGAAGCTCGGTTGTGGGGATAGGTTTTCCGGGCTTCCAAGTCAATTCTTCGTCGAATTGAAGGCTGGCAAGCTCCTCTCCTTGTTCCTCCTCAACCTCGACCTCCTCTTGAGGTTCACCGCGAGCGCGACGACGCGCCATCTTGGAAGGTGTTCGGTGGGCGCTCGGCAGGTGACGTGTGGTGAAGCGGGGAAGATAATGTGTCGATGCTGTCGTCGATCGACTGGAACGTGTCAGGAGTCGATGATGCGCGCGTGGCCTAAGTCATGGATAGATATTCGCGCGTCGCGTGCACGATGGAAGTATGCGGCAGGTGTTGTGAGCACGCAGAATTAGAGACCAGTTGCGGTGGTGGCGACGAGAAGGGGGATGAAGCTGGTGCTCTCGGTGTTGCGACGAAATTGGATGGATGGGAATAGTCGATGCGTGTTACGCGCCCGCGCCTGCAGTTCGTCGGGGTTTCGCGTGCTTACCTGAGCTGAGGGAGGTAGAACGAGGTACCTGCTCAAGCTCCAGCTGTACCTTCCCTGCCCGGTCGTGGCTTTTGCGTGGCCCCGGCGCGAGCAGGAGTGGAGCTGTGGCTGTGATGCCTCGGGTGGCTGATGACGGATGTCACCGTTCGGTGCTCAACGACCTGTCTCCACTCGGGCCCGGTGGTGGAATTCATGATCATTTCTGTCCTCATGATAGACTAGATCGCGGCCGATTCAATGATGTCTCACATTTATTTCAATGTATTTCAGAAGAATCTTTTTCTTTTCATTCGGTAGTTTGTCGTCTCTGGAGGATGCAATTGGAATGATCACCAGTGGCGTCTTGTCGACAGATTGTGGCCTACAGCAGAATCCAAGACGTTGCAACTTGAGCAGGATGAACGGCTACAGCAATGGCGGCGTTGGAGCCTTGGGATCAAGTCTATTTCTTGATGTTTTGCTATCCCAGATTCTGTGAAATTGTACATGATGGTAACGACCACCGGCAGTCCTTTTCTCAGGCGACTACTTCTTGGACAAGGGGGGAAAGAGCTCGAGGATCAAGCATCGTGTTCCTTCAGCCTATAGTAGACATATTGCTCGCAGACTGTGAAACCGCAACAGGTTCCAACTAAATCATGGTGATATTCATGTTCTGTAAGTTGATTCGTTTCATTACATTTAGGTACCTACCCAAAATTCAGCAGCTGACAAGCAGCTTCGATACCAGGTTGTGTGTGTTTTCCTTCCGTCCGAGCCATGTCATTCAGTGATGTACTACAGAGAGGAGCTTTTTAATCATATAATTACGAATTGACCCATGTGTTTCTCGTGGTTCTTGATGGTTTTTCGTCACGAAGTTGAGCCTCCGGGTCATACCTAGATGCCCGAGATCGTGGGAATCCTAAGGAGCAAGTTGAACGAATATCTTTCTGCCAGCATAGCCTTTCGTCATGATGGTACATCAAAAATTGACATCATATTCCTGGCTTATCTTGCAGTATCTCCTTAATATCCTTACAATGTCTCATGGTGACAATCCAAGTCTTGGTAGTCAATGCCCAGCACTGAGCAGACGGTTAGGGATTCAAGTAGTACTTCAAGTAATTCATCCCGCATATAACTCCTAGAATTGCTAACGCAGGTAGATCTGATTCTTCTTGTGCCTTGAAAGTCAAAACTCCTTGCTCCGAAAGCCTCAGGTTCGCTGAATCACCCGGCCAGCTGTGGGGCAACCGGATATCCTGACCGAATATCCCACCACCTCGACCGGCTGGAGGGGGAATAAACATCCCAAGAGTATTCACCCTCTCACCGACGCACCCCGTTTTGGCATCCTGTCTGGGCCCCACGCTAGTTCACCCGTCTGCCTCTCTCGATTCCCATCCATCCCGAATTTGAAATCCTCTTCTTCTTTTTTTCCTTCCCTCTCTCACCCACCCACATCACAACAACGCGAATCGCGCAGCAACTTTCGTTCGCCCACAGGCAGATTCAAGGTACGTCGGCTTCTTCTTCATGAGGATTTGATTCTTTTTGTTCTGCTTTTTTCTTTTTATTGGAATCATCTCTGACGCGATACAGCACGCTTCGCAGCACCTCTCGTTCGTCCGATCGACACTCTTTCGACCATCCCAAACTTCAGCGTAAGTCAAGATCACCAGCATCACTAGTCTCATCTCTGCCGTCTCTGAGACTATTGAGAGATACCTTCTATTCTATTTCCTGCCTACCTTCACCCTCATTTCCCCCTTCTCAGTGTCCTAGTTGAGAGACAGGGTCAAGCGATCTCATTTCCCTCGATCTTGCAGTCTTGCGACGTCAAGGGGTACTCTGAGCGCAAAGATACTCATCTTCACTTTCCTCTCCTTTGATTTTCGGGCAGATCGATTTTTTCAGAAAAAAAATCAGTTTCTCCTTCGTTCCTTCCTCCTGTCTGGACTTTGCACCCCTCAGCACAAATACTTGTCCCCCAACTTGCCTTTGTTGACGCGCTGTTTTTCCCACCCACCTCTTCTCGCGGTTCTTCTCTCACTGAGCCACTCACTCCCACTTCTACCTCTTCACCCCTTCAACCTCTCTTTTCCACCCACTTCACTCACTTTTCTTCATCACCAACTGACGGCAAATATTCCTTTGCAGACAACACTCACTTGTCATTATCACCATTCTTTCAAGAAGAGTAAGTCCTATCTCGTTCTCGTTCCTTTCATTTGTTTTCACGCTGGTTCTGTTCTTTGCGCTTGGCGATTTCCAAGAAAATCGGCATCGCCTCCTCGAATTCAGATCGCACTTGCTTGACTGTCGCTTTCTTTTTACCTACCAGAATCTAACAAAGTCCCAGATCCAGTCATTGTTCAAGAACAAGCTCAACGGACGCTCTCGCTTGACATCATGATGCGTAAGTCTCCCTTTCTTTCAAATCGAAAGTGTCAAAAAATCCAACTTACTTACAAAAAAAACAGCCAAGCGTCCCAACAACGACTATCGCGATCACCGCGGTTACTACCGCGAGGATGATGACCTCACTGTGACTGAGGGCGCCATCCAGCGTGAGCACAAGGACTGGAGCACTTATCGCAAGACCGATCCCTTCCTTCTCATCCTTCTTGCCGCGCTCATCGCTACCTGCATGGGTGGTGGTATCGCTATCGGCATTTACTGTAAGCATCCCCTCTTGAGCGTCTTCTCATTTCTCTCTTTCATTTTGCTAACAATGAAATTTATCAGATGCTACTCGTGGCTCTCCCAACTCTCAGGTCCCGACCTCTGACTCCCATGTCGTTGTCCCTCGTTTCGCCGGCATGAACTACAACGTCCACGGCTTCAACGGCACTCAGACCCACGGCATCAACTCCACCCTCTCTGGCTTGGCTACCACTGGCACTCCCACTATCTGCGAGGATGATGCCGATGAGACCATCACCGTTACCCAGTTCCTTGGAAACAACAAGACCGCCTCTGTTGACACTACCATCACGACCCGCGTCCAGATGACTCTCACCCAGACCCTTCACAAGTCTCCCATGGGTACCACTGTCTCGTCTGCCAAGCCTGTCAACACCACTCTTCCCGGCTCTTCTGTTGTCACCCAGTAAGTCCTCCTCAGCTTTTCCTTTCTTTCTGCCTCCAAAGTCCAAATTGCTCATTTCCTTTCCAGGTCCATTCCAGTTGTCACCGAGGTCCTCACCACCTCTGTCACTGAGACTGCGTACCACACGGCCACCGCCCACCAGAGCAATGTCGCGTCCGAGTCCTCCGAGTCCCTCGAGTCCTCTGAGTCTACCATCGCTTCCACGTCTTCTGTTGAAAACGGGCCTCCCATCATCGTGACTACCGGCGGCTGGCTCCCAACCGAGAGCTCTCACCCTGAGATCACTTCGGTCTTCCTGACTAAGACCCTGACCCAGACGCGCAAGACTACAATCCATGGCGCTCCCTTGATCTCTACCGGAGAGTTCTCTTCAACCACCACGGTCACTCCCACGACGGTCGTCAAGTCCACCATCTACGTCACTGCAGGCCCCCTGAGCTCTACTACTCAGGCCCAGTGCTCCCACGAGGTTGAAGACCACACTGTCTACGTCACCGTCACCGAGACCTTCACTCCCGGCGCTGCCAGCTCTTCCTCGAGCGTTCAGTCCAAGACCTCCAAGGCCTCCTCCAAGATGTCTTCTTCTTCGGTTTCCCCTTCCACGGCTACCGACACCGTCTTGGTCACCTACACCGTCACGATTGACAGCCTGTACCCCCCTACCACGAGCCCCGTCCTGAGCAGCTCTACCTCTAGCGAGAAGACCTCCTCCACGCTCGTTCCCGCCTCCAAGTCGACCATCATCGTCACCCAGGTGGCTACCCAGACCGTCATCGTCTCCATTGGACACGGAACCACTGTCTCTTCCCAGCTTGGCCACGCCGGCACTCCAATCTTTACCTCGCTTTCCTCTTCCGGAAGCGCCCAGGCCTCTACCGCCACGGACGTCGTCGTCTTGACCAACACGATCACCTCCAACGTGTTCAAGACCATCAGTGCCTCGTCTTCCTCGCACTCGGCCGATGTCCAGACAGACACCCAGACCTCCATCGTCACCGTCACTGCCTCCCCTTCCAGCGCCTCCCGCTCCAAGTCATCTTCCCAGTCTACTGAGTACATTCTCACCACGATCTACCTTACTGATCGCGCAACCGAGACTGTCACGACTGGAGGCATGTCCACAGTGACCGTCCGCCCCGAGCAGTCTAGCGCCTCCTCCTCCTCGTTCTCTGGTCCATCCAACTCCACCAGAACCGAGACAAAGGTCATCACCGCTTCCGCGTCTAGAGTCGTCCGCACCTACACCACCACGGTCAGCGGCCAGGTCTTCACTTCCCTGATTACCGTCTGGAAGAACGTCACCGCCACCGCCACCGCGACCCTCAGCGGCAGCGCCTCATCTTCTCTTGCCTCTTCGTCCACCTCTCACTTGGGCAGCGGCAAGAACACGACCGTTACCGCGACCGCCACGTCCGTGGTCGAGGTGCCCGTCACGCTGAACACCACCATCACCATCACGGGAACTCCCATGATGCACCCCACCGCCCCAAGCACCTTGCCCCCCTCCGTCGACGGCACCGCCATGAGTTCGTCTACCAGCCACGTCCCCACGACCTACCACTACCCCACGCTCTCCTCCGCGACTGTCACCGCGCAGCCCAAGAGCACGAGCACTGTGGTCGTCGTCTCTGGCGCCGCGGACAAGCATGCCGAGGGCATCATGGGCGGCTGCAAGGGCTGCACCACCTGGCTTACCATCTTCGTGCTGGGCCTGATGGTTCTGGTTTAAGAGCAAACGCTTACCTTCTTCATTCTTTTTGTGTGTCTTTCTTTCTTTAGTTTTCCCCTTTTTGCGCTCATGGTTCTCCTTTCACTCTTTCGATTGGAGAACTGGCATTAAGGAAAAACTCCCCTGTTTTGTGACGCTTTTTCTTTTTATTTTCTCATGGATGGATGATTGATACCTACTTCATCACGGAACGATAACGATACGAACGGAACTCTTCTCATGCGGTTTCATGGATTTGGTACTTTCGGCACGGGGAGGAAACTGTACAGACGTCTTTTTTCCTCTTCATTTCATGATTTGGAACCCGCTAGGCTAGGAAAACTTTCTGGGTGTTAAGGAATAGTTTTGAGGTTTGGAGAGGGATCCGAGGTTGGAAGGGAGGATTGGGTTTGGCTTGCATGGACCAGTGCCTAAATAATACCAGGACGAACGCATTGTTCTACACTTGATGACTTGACTCCTGTGATTTATGTGCTGTGATGTGTTGTGAACGGCGACTTGAAGAAGTGGTCTGCCACGAGATTCATATGTCAGCCCAAGTGCTACCAGGCCAAGAAGTCTCCCTCACCCTCAAACGCTTCATGACGAAACACCAGTAGTGAAATCACCTTTTATTCATTCTCATAATCTATCAATCTAAACCCCCACCCTCTACCTCCCATCACCAAACCCCTGCCTCAGCTACTCAGTTATGAGCAAACTTCAAAATCCTCTTCTCCATCTCCTCAAAAGCCCCAACAACAGGCTGATACCCCTCAAACACACCCTCCTTATACCCCTCATCAACCTTTTGAATCGCCCCCTCCTCCTTCCACCGCTTCCCAATCAGCTCGTCAAACGTCTCCCCCTCGCCCCTCTCAAGCGCCCAAACAGCCTTATACGCCCCGCCCAAAGCACACGCGTTCCCGCCCACATCGAGCTTATACACGCCCTCCGCCCCGCCCAGCACGTCGCCCATGACCCGCGCGATGGCAGGGTTCAGCGAGCCGCCGCCGACGAGGTAAATCCGTCGCGGCTGCGCGGGGATCTTGGAGCTGGACTCGGAGCCCGGGCTGTGAACGAGGTTCTGGCTGCGCAAACGCATCGATAGAGCCTGCGACTCGACGATGATGCGCGCGTCCGTCTCCTTGGACCACGATTCCGAGGCCTCGGCCAGGGCGCTTCCGTCCTGCTTGGCGGTATACCGCCACGTGCCGGCCTTGATATTCGGCACAATCTCGGGCAGGTCAAAGTACAACCCCAACTTTGCGCTATCCCTCTCCGACCGCATATCCAACGGCGGCGTATCGAGGACAGCCTTGTTGAAGTTGGCCCAGGGGTCACCACCACCACCACTACCACCACCCTCAGGCTTCGGCAACGCATCCCGCACGCGCTCGCGCGCCAGCCCGCCGTTCTTGTAGCAGAGCATAAACATGTACTGGCCCGGCGTGCAGGGGTGATTGAAAAAATGATACGCCGCGTCGGGCTTATACACCGGCGTGACCATCAAAAACGTAGAACTCGTGCCCAGCGAGACGATGGCGTCCATGGGCCGCAGCGGCAGCGCGAGGATCGTGGCCGGGTTGTCGCCTGTAAAGGGCGCGATCTGGCACTCTGCGCTGAAGCCATAGCGCCGGACAAAGTAGTCCGAGATGCCGCCCATAGACCCGCCGCCGTCGTGGCGCGGCTCGCCGAGCTTGGCGCGGAGATCACGTACCCCGGATTGGGAGCCGGCGGTGAGTTGGAGGAGGGGCTCGCTCCAGTTCCCTGCGGAGATGTCCCAGAGGTTCATGCCGCAGACGTCGCTAATGTCGATGGGGGCGACGGCGCCGAGGAGGACGGAGGCGAGGAAGGAGGAGACGAGGGAGATGCGAGATGTGGCGGCGTACATCTCGGGGAGCTTCTGGCGGAGGCGCATGATTTGCGTGCCGGTGAAGCGCTAACGTTCGTTTTCGTCTCAGTAAACAAAACCACTCACACGATATTGCCATACAATACTTTTGCATGGGAAAACGAGGGGGTGCAAACATACGTGGTGTGCAGCACTGCCAGTGACCTCAGCCAACCGCTGCGCCGTCTCAAAGTTGGCATCAAACTCATCGCACTGCGCCTGCGTGCTGTGATCCTGCCAATTCGGCGCATACGGGTGCGAAAACGCCCCCTTGAGCTGCTCGACGAGCGGCTTGTCGGACTGCAGACCGCCCAGGAGCGTCTCGGCCTCTTTACCCCAGTAGGTGCTGCCGTGCTGCTGGCACGAGCCGCTGATGCCCTTGATGCGATCCATTGGCGTCTTGGTGCTGAGACGGCTCAGAACGAGATCGATGGCCTCGAGGAACATGGCGACGGGGGCGTAGACCTCGCCCTCGGCCTCGTTGGTCAGGACGCCCTTGTGCAGGCCATACTGCTTGCCAAAGTCGGCGTCAAAGTCGACTTTGGCCTCGGAGACGACGGTCAGGTCGGACTGTACGACGATGGCTGTGGGGAAGGGTTTTAGAATGAGGTGTTCAATTCGGATGAGATGGGATGTCCATGGGCTGGCTGACCTTTGAGCTGTTGGGTCGACAGGTCGAACCCAAGATACAAGGGACCGGAACTCATGATGAAGTGAGATGGATGAGAGATATTGCACAACACTCGGGAGGGAGGTCAATTAAGTATCGGACTATCTCAAATTTGTCCAAGCAAGCAAGAATTGGTCAATCGTCATATGAAAGGAGAAAAAGGACACACACAGAATATCCGGTTATCTGGAATCAAGTTGACCGCTGCCCACTACTTTGTACATCACGTTGACGTGGGGTGTGTGTGGGCATGGAGGGGCACACTTGTCACTTGGGAGAGGTTGCATGGTTCCCTCAGCCTTGTGGCAATTCAGGCTAAAAGCGGGTAGACCAATCGTATGGCTCGAAACTGATGCGACGAATAGGCGCGCCAATGATAGTGTGACGTCTTGGCGGAAGCCAAGGCAGCCTTGTCCCCTCGACTCGGGGGTCGGGAATAGCTCGTCCCGTGTTCAATGCGCCCTGCCGCCCTGCATATTGCCGCGTTTGAAGGGTCCCGCTGCGTGGAACGCACTTGCGAGATTGGCTAGGATAGACGGGCACTTTTTCAACGACGAGCATTCCCATGCAATACCATGATGCGACGAAAGTAGACACAGTTCAGAACAAAGCAAATCTGTTATTCAGCAGACGAGAGATATAAAACAAGTCTCTCGAGACGACCGGCCTGTCGCTGGCCTTTTGTGATCCCTCCCTAAACGCCGCCCTAATGCAAATGGATGCCTTGGAGGACTCTTTCCAAGAATGCTCTCTATACATGGCAACAACACCCCCCCCCTCCCGTAGACCGAAAAGAAAAGAAAAAGACGGTGGCTTTACCACGCTTCCAGAAATGGTAAGGAAAACCAAGGGTATCTCGTCGTGAATGGCAAGCTCTTCCTCCAACTGTACATAGAACCTGGCTGCCTTAGTCGTGCTTGTGGCCATTGCCATTGGTGTGGCTGTGGTCGTCGGCTTCCTCGCTAGCCTCTCGGTTGGCTTCTCCGGGGATGAACTCGTCGAACGGGCGCGCAACCTCGGCCTCCTTCGGGACGAAGCGCACCTTGATCCTGCGCACACCCCGGACCTTAGCACCGACAAGAGTACGGACCTGATCCTCCACTTCGCGGACAGCCTCGACGGACCAAGCTCCGGGCACAGCCAAGTCGATATCCACCAGGTAGTTCTGACCGGACTTGACACCCGAAACATTGCGAACATCGACCTCGTGGCCATTTGTGACATCAGAGAGACTTCGGAGTGCGTATTTTTGGACGTCGCCCTTGACTTCATCGTCAATAGCGCGGTCGGCCAATTCGTATACAGAAGACAGAGTGTTCTCGGCACCAGCCTTGATGACGAGGAGGGAAATCATCAGGCCACCAACGGGATCCAGCCAGGTCGCATCCTTGAAAAAGTTTGCACCGAGGATAGCAAGGAGTGTGACAATGCCGGTCCAGCTGTCGACACGGTGGTGAATGGCATTGGAGGCGAGGACAGAGGACTTTCGTTCGACGGCAACTTTCATGGCTGTTTTTCTCCTTGTCAGCTTTGTTCTCTGCAGCCACTCAGGCCTGAAAGGATTAAGGGGGAATTGTGCTTACTAGCTCTGTACAGCCATTCCTTGATTGCGATTGTTCCCAGGGCCAACCAAGCAGCGTGCAAACTCGGAGTAGCATGACCATGACCGTGGCTGTGACCGTGATGAGCGTGGGCAATGGCCTCTGCAGCAGCTGCAGGGTCGAGGAAGAGGTGAGCGTGGAGGGTGATCAAGCTGCTCCAGCACATGAACAGGCCACCGCCCAGAAGCATGCTGGAGACACCTAGAGATCCCAGACTCTCAATCTTGCCGAAACCAGTGGGGAAGGCTTCGGTCGGGGGTTTCAAGCTCCACGAAACAGTGGCCAGTGTCAGGACGTCGGAAGCCAGGTCCGTCAGACTGTGCCAGGCATCAGCAATCATGGCTTGAGAGCCAAATGCGTAGCCACCGGCGCCCTTTGCAAAGGCCATGCCCAGGTTGGAGTAGAGACCAATGCGAGTGATGCGCACGCCGGCGTCGTTCTTGTTGGCCGAGGTCAGGTAGACATTGTCGTGGCCGTGGTGGTGATGGTGGTGATGACCATGGCTCTTGCGAGACTGGGTCGGGTTGGCGGTCATGGTGGCAGTGGTGGTTGCAGACATGATGACAGTTGCTGGTAATGAAGGGGATGAGTTCTTCGCAGCCGTCAAGGTGTTGTTGAGGTGAGGGAGGGAAGAAGTAGAAGAGGTCAGGTGGAGGCGGGCGGCGCTGGGGGTTAAGTAAGGATCGCAGGGAGAGACGGCCGGGCTGGATGTTTGATAGACGCGGAGGGAGACGCGGCGCAGAGCTGGATGTGGTTGAGGTGGCCTAAAGGGGTAGGCAGAATTGAGGCAGCGGAGGAGGGTGTGCGTTCGCGTTCCCGTTCCCGTTCTTGGAGACGTCACCCACGCACTCCCACTCACAGCGGAAAGGCGGCGGAGCAGTGCCGTGGGACGCTTGGACGGGGTCGACATGCCTGGGGCGGGTTGAGGAGTAAGATCCAATACCAATATGCCCTCGGCTGTGTATGTGTGTGTGTGTTAGGTATTTGCGTGTGTGTGCGTATGTGTACGGATAGTGTGTACTCCGTAGGCGTAGTTAGGCGTGTCTCTGGGTCTCGCGCCTTCTCTTTCGCTGCGGTCTCTCAAAGCAGGGTCAAGGTAAATTGTGACGGAAGGGGTGAGGGGACGAATAACGGGTTGGGTAATTGCAAGCAGGCCAGGGACGCGTACATGACAAGCCCAGCCCGAAAAGCCGCGACACACCGAACAGGACCGTACCGTGCGGTAGGTACGAATAGATCGGTGGACGGAAGGTGGACGGAGGAGACGAGGGGTGGGTGTGTGGTCCAGGTGGAAAGGGAGGGAAAGGGTTACGGGAACGAATTGGGGGGGGGACTTGGGGTGCAGCAGGTGTAAGAACGGGGGGTGAGAGTTAATTTCTCGATTGGAGACTGACTGGTCTGCACTGTACCCAAAACGCAATGCCTCGAGGTAGGTAGAAGCACAAAGTGCCAAAAAGGTGCGCGCGTGTGTTGTGTGTGTGTGTACGGAGTATTGTGCGAGACTGTGTCAAGTGTGTGTCTCCAGCAAAAAGAAAAGAAAGGCGACGCGGCAATTCGTTGCAAGGAAGACAAAACTTTCCAACTGACAAGGCGAGGGTCCGGCAGCGGCGGCAGCGGCAGCGTAGCGGCAGGGCGGGTTGATCTGATCTGCTGCAACTTGCGGCTAAGACCTAGGTACCTTACAATGTAGGTAGCATACAGAGTGCGAGTACTCCGTACTAACTCAGATACAACTACGTATGGAATGTCAAGTATTCTCACTGCAATTCATGCAGAGGCCGGACGTCTGCTGCGGTTCGGTTGGTTTGCTGATGTAAAGGGTACCCCTACCATGTGCTTGTCCACCCCCGAGCAACCGACCCGAGCTAAAAGGCGGTGCCTGACGAGGATGGGATGGGCGATGGATGGGATGGCAGACCTGAAGACTGAGTGCCAGAGTGACTGAACAGTGAAGTGGGATGGAGAATCGGATGCCACCACCGCCAATTGGCAATGCACCAATGATCAAACCCCACAAGGCGAGAGTTGAATGAATTGGCTCCATTTGATTGACGGATGCAACTTTTACGCCAAGAGAGAGGAACCCATCCATGAACTCAATGGAGTCCGAAGCTACGTACCCCCAGTCCTCCCGCGGGTGGTAGCAAATTTCTTCGAAACTGACTTGTTCAGTCTCGCCGCCGATGTGGACAACATACGTACGGCGCCGCCGGGAATTGCTATGGGGAAGAAGCTTGAATTCTCTCTTTTTTACCTTGCGCTACGGTAACTTTACTGCTTAATACAGTACCAAAATGCTTAGTACCTTTCTACCTTGTTAATACACCGAGGATTCGTACACGTTATGCTTCTCCATGCATTCCCCGCTTTAAGGCAAGGTACTTGGAGAAAGCCACGACATGCGTCAGCCACGCCCGCCCACTGCTTAAACCCTCCTATGTAGACTAAGGTACTACGTATAGAACCCAGAACTGCTAGAAAAAAAGAAAAAAGCTACGGGTGGTTTTCCTCTTGTGAGTCGTCACGGATCCAGCACATCCCATCGGCTTGTGTCCGTCTCCATAGTTCCATTCAAAGTACGGATACTGATGCATGCCCATCTGTCCTGCCCACCAAAGAACAACGGCATGGTCCGCTGCAACCACCAGGGTAGAGAACCAAATACGACCGTCGGACTGTCTCTCTCCAGAAGGTAACTTCGTCCTCGAGCTGCAAGTCCGGAGGTGTGGTTGAACCAACTTGTCATTGGGCAAGGAGGCCACGCAAGATGCCCCTGAGAATCTTATTCAATATATCACCCTCAACGACCGCCGATCCAGTGTACATCTCAAATGTAAATCCTCTGTAATACAGATAGTCTATACTCCGTACGGCTACGAATTCACATCTCTCTAATCTGACGCAGGGCCGTCTCTTGTCGCAGACATCTAATGTGGCCCGTGTCAAGACAAAACCTCTAAAAGACCCATGTTACCTAAGCGGATGCCTTTACTAAAGTCAAGCCACACTGGGCTTGGTCATCTTATGCGGTCCGGTGGATTCGTAGTCCCGGCCTGGCATGCTGGCTCCCCCGAATCATGACGAATTGACCACTGATAATCAGATCGCCCCCTTCAACTTAGCCATGCGGCCTTGACTTTGAGCCTGTCGCAACGTTTCCATTAACACGCGCTTGTCAGAAATCTCCTTCCGTCCCTTGATCACTTCTATTCTTAAATGCAACGCCAGGGTTACATGTCCACATAACGATCTCCTCCCACCCCCTTTCCCGTGCAACTCTCCTCCCTCTTTTTGCTGAGCCTCCGCCGCAGTCCACGTACATCACCCGGAGCTACCTTCCCCCTTGACTCTTAAGCGGCTCCGGAACTCCCTCCCACATCCCGATAGGCCTTACGCAACCTCAACCACCAACGCAACCATCATCGCCCCAATGCGCAAACCTCTTATGCGCATTCCCTACACGGAACTCTTGGCCCCTCCCACAGTCCGTCCAAGCACCGCAAACACCATCCCCGGTGCTGTCGCGGCCCTCCAGAACTTCTTCACGGCCCCGCCTCCAAAGGGCCTGCCGAGGTCGACCGTCGTACTGACTGGGGCGGGCCTATCCGTCTCCAGCGGTCTCGCCGACTACCGAGGCGTCAATGGCACCTATCGCGTGAACAAGACCTACCGCCCCATCTACTACCACGAGTTCCTCGCAAACCACGAGGCGAGGAAACGGTACTGGGCTAGGAGTTTCTTGGGTTGGACGTCGCTTCACAAGGCGTCGCCAAATCATGGACACTATGCCATCCGGGATATGGGCCAGATGGGCCTGGTTCGGAGCGTCATCACGCAAAACGTCGACTCATTTCACTCAAAAGCTCATCCTGACATTCCAACTTTAGAGCTGCACGGCTATCTAAGGTCCACAGTCTGTGTGACTTGCAGGAACGAATACCCCAGAGACGCCTTCCAGGATGAGCTTGCGAGGCTCAACCCGGCCTGGGCAGCCTTTCTCGTCGAAGCTTTAGCTTCCGGGGCTCTCGACACGGAGAATCCTGCCGAGCGCAAGACCAAGGGCATCAGGACTAACCCCGACGGCGACGTGGATCTGCCAGGCGCGCCGTACACCACCTTTAGATATCCGGCCTGCCCGCACTGCCTCGCGAAGCCGCCGGCCACGCCCGAAGGGACCAAACACGCTGTCGAAGTCGACCATGATGGTGCGTGGAAATCCACCAGTTCCGGGGGCATCTTGAAGCCCGCCGTGGTCATGTTTGGCGAGAGCATCCCGAGCGACGTCAAGACGGCGGCCGAAGAGGCCATTGACGGGGCCGGGAGGCTTCTCATCTTGGGGACTTCGCTGGCCACGTACTCTGCGTGGCGATTGGCCAAGAGGGCGCTGGATCGCGGCATGCCTATCGCGGTGGTGAACACCGGAGGCGTACGGGGCGAGGACCAGATTTCCGCCGTGGAAGACCCGGAGCCCACGGGTGTTCGAGGAGTCCGGACAGAAGTGTCCACCGACGTTGTGCTTCCCGCGCTGGTAGAGCAGCTACGCCAGCTTCCGAAGAGCGCTTCGGGACCGGTTGGGACCGTAGGAGCGCCCAGAGAGAACCATGGCGTGTTTAAAGATATGTTGTCATAGACCACGAGTTGTACCAATCCAAAGCGTTGCCATTCGGAAAACTAGAAAAAGCTCGACATGCCCCGCGCCGGCTGTCTCGCGGCTTCGGGTACCGCCGCAGTCGGTTGCGCTTCGGCCTTGACACTCGCCGCTGCTGCCGCCTCCGCCTGCCGTGCCTTGTCCTGCTTCTTCTGTCGCGACACGTCTTCTCGCTCAATCTCTCTCAGCACTAAGTAGCAATCTCATGTCAGCATAATCGACGCGATTTGGGCGCTTGTGATTTGTAAAACATACTCTCCTCCCATTCCAACTCTTTCTGAAGGTCGCCCGTACCCAACTCCTTCTCCACGTCAACCGTCTCGCCCCTCTGTAGCTTTTCAACCACCTCCCGCAAGACGCTAATGCGCACGTCTGCTTGTCGCGAGAACGCCTCGAACGCCTGCTTCGTCGACAGCATGTTGATGGACATGGAACCGATCAGGAGGAAAATGACAATGTAGAACGTGGCCGGGTTCCATTCCTTCTTCCTCTTCGGCTTGACTCGCTTGATCATGGGATCGTCGGTAAGTTTCTCTTCGCGCCTGAACGGTTTGGGGATGAGTCCCTTCCAGAAATCGAGCTGCGCTACGGTGGGAAGGGAGCTCGAGTGTCGCGACTGGAAGTAGAAGGAGCGATTCGCAGCTTGCGCAAGGGCTACGGCGCGGAGGCCTGAGGAAGGTGCTGCGAACAGCTTGTGGGTCGCAACTCGGGACATCTTGAAGGGAGGTGGTCGACCCCTAGAATAACACACGTCGTCGTCTTCGCTATGCTGCCGTTGTCTGAAATGGATGTCTTCTGGAAGGAGTCAAAAAAGCTCGGGAGGCCCTTTCGCGGTTCTCAAATCCCGGATGGCCCGTGCATCGATGGTCCCTGCTGCACGGACCGAACCGGGATTGCGGTTGCTCCGGGCAACGCTCCGGGGCATTGTTTAGCGAGACCTGACAACTGCCAACTGCAGGCCTTTGTGGACTAGCATGAAGTCACACATCAAACTGGTACCTACAAACGGCTATTTGCCCATGTTTGGATCAAGCAACGATCCTACTTTCTCTCTACGAAAAGACTTCATGACGGAACGACTCTTATGACCCGGATACATACAACCCAATGACTTCATTACAAAGCAAAGTCGACGCCGTCAAGGCGGCGGCTGCATCGACTGCAACATGCACATCAACAACCACGGTGCTCCTCAAAGAACTTCTCGCGACCGAGGCCGAGGCGCAATCGACAGCGCAGAAGAAGAAATCAGCAACGGAAACGACGCGAGGGAAGACGGCTGGTGCAGCACGAGGGGCCGCGACCGCGAGCAAAAAGGAGGAGCTCACATCAAAGGAGAAGGCAGCGCTCGCAGCGCACATCATCAACGTCGCCCTCAAGTCGCTCACCGAGGCATCCAAGCCTGCGCCTCCCGCCCAACCTTCGACCCCGTGCCGACGACAGAATTCAGGCGACGACCTACGAAAGCCCCAGAACAAACGGCCCCTGAGGCGGTCCAACTCCATGCCCATGACCCCGATGCAGCCACGTTCACTCAACAGAACCTCCACCTCACCCATAACTACACCGAAGCCCACGAAAAGCGCGACCGCAACGATTCCCACAGTCACCTGCCTTGCGACGGTAGAGTGCCTACGAGCTGCGTTTGCGTGTTTGAGATCGCTTCATACCTCTGGCGCAGTGCAACTGCCAGACCTGCAACTCGAGAGTGGAATATCTTCTTTCGTTGGCAAGCTTGTCGGACTAGACCTCCAGGAGCACGCGCTGCGGGAGCTGACGCTTTTGAGGCAAAGAATCGACGCAATGGCTCCCTCAACGAAACCGAAGACGAAAGCAGCCAAAACAACCGCGGCAACCACAAAAGTCAAAGGTCTCGCAGAAATCTTGGACTTTGGTGATGCCAAGTTCTCCGGCCCAACTCTGGGTCTGGTCATCACGACTCAGATGCAGATCCTGCGTCTGATGTCTGCAAACAAGAAACCGGCCACGATCGAGGCAGCATTGCCATACTTGGTCCCTTCCCATCCGACTTCACCCATCAACCTCCTCCTTGAATCCGCGAAAGAGGCCGGCCAGAAGACAAAGGCTGCCCGACAGCTCGACCTTCTTTCACAGCTTCTCCTCTCTTTGGCCCCGAGCTTAGCAAGCAAAGACGACGACGTTGCCATGGACCGCCGCCTAAGCTGCTCTCCGGCCACCGCACTGGAATTGCAAGCTCTAGGATTGGAGGCGCGTCTGCATTGGTGGCCCATGGCCGGCCACAAGGCAGATGTTGACAAGGACATCATTTCACCGCTTTCTCGATGCATCACCTCATACATTCGCAGGGTCAAGACTGACTCGGCCGGTGCCTACCGCAAGTCTTTCAACGCTTTCGATCGCATCATCGCCATGGTCAAGAGCCAGCACCTGGAGCCGATGCTCGCTTCGAAGTCGCCACTCGTTGTGATTTACCAGGCTTTGGGCACGGTGGCTCAGACTGCGCGCCATTACAAGGAAGCAGCCGAGTGGATTTCGAAGATCAAGGGGACTCTGAACCCGGCCAATGATTCACCGGCAAAGTGCTGTGCGATTGCTGCGCAGCTCGTCGCTGTTTACGGGAAACAGACGCCGCTACCCCTGGAGGAACTATCCGCGCACCTGAAGGAAGTTTATGACGCGCTTCAGGGGACACTGAAGGGTGACGTTACGGAACTGGAAGAGCTCATGGTCAATCTATCAGCTGCTCGTAGGTCGGCGGTGGGGATTTTGGCTAGTAAACTCACGGGTCAATCTCAAAGCATAGACGAACTCCTCAACAACCTCGTTATTCAATTTCCCCGATTCGCTCTTCGATGGCTAGGAAAGCCGCCAGCAAAAGACGCTTCCCCCAAGGATCACGTACGCTATGATTCGAGAAAGCAGCTACTACTCACTTCGATAACCCAAATTCTCGACTCGGCCCTGATGGTTGCCAAATCTCAGCTCGACGACGACAAGATGACCTGGGCAGTGCTCGACGGCCTGCTTCAAGAGTGTCTTATGCTCTTGGACTTTTTGGGCGACGCGAGTATTGCCCTCTCGAAAGCGGACTCTTCAAATCTCTACCACGTCAAACTCTCGCACCTCTACTTCATGTTCTTTAACTGGTATCGCCGAAACGCAGACTCTAAACCCGGAGATAAGACTCCCCTTCGAGCTCTGAGACGATCTGTGGATTGTGTCAAGGACCGGTCTTCTGAGGAGAAGGAGAAGGCACAAACGACAGCCAAACTCGAGTACTTTGCGGACCTGTGTAAGCAGGCCGGCCGAGTCAACGACGCTCGAGACGCGTTGAAGCTCATTTGCACGAACATGGTCGAAGACGGAGTGTTGTCTACAGTGGCTGCCTCTTTGGCTGAGAGCTCCCCTGCAGTGGCTTGGAGCGCCAGCGTCAAGGCCGAGTCATTGTCAAGGACAATAGGTACGATGGTCAAGCTTGATCAATCCTGGAATGATTGGACTTTCTTCCTTGCGGACGTTGAGCGGGCCGCGGTTTTGGAGCGCATCATTCAACTCATCCTCTCCAACTCATCTAGCGATCCCAAGCCCAACGACATCAAGGATCCGGTCACCGAGGCTCTTTTGAGGATCTACGCGTCCGACCGCTTTCCGGTCCGCCGCCTCCGGACATTGCTACAACTGCTCACCATGTCAATCGGCGACAAGGACGAGTTTCAAAGCCTTCGAGAGCAAGCGGAGGCTGCTTTGCAGCTCTGTCGTGATCACAACTTTGGCGACGACGTTGGTCTGGCTGGATACGTCCCTGACCTAGAGGCAGGTCTCTCGTCCACGTTGGCTCTTGTTGCAACAGAGACAGAATGGCGTACGGCCGACTTCGAAGAGTCAACAAGCATCTGGCGCACGATTATCAACCAGTGCCAGACCAAGGATGATCTTTTGTCAAAAGTTAGCGACACTGAGGGACTCGTCAGGCAGCTTAACTCTATTGCAGAATACGCAAGACTCAGGGGCGAGGACGAGTTCTTGTTGTCCGTTTTGACATTGTGTGCCGACATTGCGTCCAAGCTGTCCGACTCCTCCACGGACCTACTTCTCCAGGCGCATAGCAACCTCGCGGACCAGTACACACATCTCGGTTATTCCGAAAAAGCCGAGGAGATTCTTAACAAAGCCAAGAAACTCGCAGAAACCACCGCCGCCAACCCAGACTTTGGTGCTGTCAACCTCCAGATCTCCCTTACTGAGTATCAGCTGGCAAACCAAAACTCTGATGCGGCGTAAGTCTTCTCTCTCAAAACGAATGTGGATATTGAGCTAACAATTAAGTAGTCACAAGATGCTCCTGCAAGGCGAAGTTACCTTTGAGAAGTCTTCAAATGCAAGAAAGGCTCCCAGGCTCCAAAGAAAGTTGCTCATGGCAAGAGCTGCCTTTCTCTCTTCCCGAATCAAATGGGAAAAGGGCGAGTACCAACATGCTTTGTTCCACGCCAAGACTGGAGTCCGCATCTTATTTCAGGACTGGACGAAACTAGAGGCTCGCTGGAAAGATGCGCCCAAAGCAGAGTCTAAGCAGACCTCGAGAGAAGGTTCTCCTGATGCGGAGGAAAGTCTTATCACGACTGACGTCTCAACGAATCTGATCGAGCTATCCGACGGCCCCGACAGCTGGGCCCTTACTTGCGGTCTGCTGAGAGCCATGCTGCACCTTTCTTCAGTCTACGCTCACCTGGGAATGTTCCAAGAGACTGTCTATTACGCAGAGAAGGCGCACCAGGTTGCCAACGCCACAAATGCCTCCATCTACAGGGCTCAGGCTGCTACTTGGATCGGTTCAGTATGGTTAAAGGCCTGCAAACTCGACAAGAGCCTTGGCTACTTGAACGAAGCTAGACAGCTCATGGCCACGGCTGTCAAACCAACACGTCAGGCGTTCCAGCTAGCTTGTGAGTTGAGTGCTTCGTTCGGAGAGATGAAGGACCACGAGAACGAGACCCTACTCCTTGAGCTTGCCGAAGTCACACTTGGGACTTTGAACAGCAGCAACCGAGGCGCAATTACTGGTGTGAACGATGAGCAAGTAGTCACTAAGATGGCCAAGCTCACGCTCAAGGCACCGGCTACGCGTAGGACACGAGCGACCAAGCCAGCGGTCCCCACAGCGACCAGAGCCACGAGAGTTACAAAGAGAGTGGCAGCACCGAAGACGAAAGCTGCTGCTGCTCCTCCCAAGACCGCCGTCGTTGCCGCAAACGATAGCACATCTGACCTCAAGGCTTCCATGCTGTTGTACAAAGCACTTGTCCACCTTAGCAAGGGCGACTGGGCTGCTGCAGCAGACCTTCTGGAGGAGGCGAAGCAGATTTCCAGCAGCTTGCGGGAGTCTCTGCGAGTCCAGATTGGCGAGGCCACCTGTTTGATTGAACAGGGCATCAAGCAGATGGAGGGCGATTCTGTCTTCTCGGTCGTGAAGGAATCGACCATCTCTTACCCGTCCATCCACGCTGCTCCCGACAAAAATAACACGGACAAGACGCAACCGACGGGATCCTCTCCACGGAAGGCTCAAGGCCGAGCTACCTCTGCCGAGCGCAAAATGATGAAAGAAAACGCAACCTTTGTCGAAACTTTGGAACAAGCGCAAGCTCAGCTGATGGAAGCTCAAGCTGCCGCTGCTATTTCAGGAAACGGACACCTGGTTCATCGCATCTCAGCGTTGCTTCAGAGCACGGGCATTTTCCTATCGGCAGCCTCTCATCGGACGCCAAGAAATATGGGAGGCTTTGGATATGCCACCTGCTCTGTCGAGTTTGCACGAAATCTGACTTGGAAACGGGAGCGAAACACCGTGGCTACGGATCAACTCAATCCCAGCTTCAGCGAGGCGGGCTGGCCACTTGCTCTTACGCTAAAGGATGATAGACGGGCCAGCATTATCACTGTTGACGACATGGCGAGATTCCAGCGCGACTACATTGACATCATTCCTGAAGCGTGGAGTGTCTTGTCGATCGCGCTGAGTGACAACCGCAAGGATCTGTGCATCACCAAGTTACAGTCCGGCCAGAGCCCCTTTGTCTTGCGACTTCCGCTGGAGCGTGTGGCTTCTCGTGATGGCGAAGACGAGCTATTCGACTTCCAGCATGGACACGACGAGCTCATGGATATTATTCAGGCGACCAACGCGAGTTGCCACAACTCTGGTGACTACTCTGCAAAAGGGGCCAAGTCAGCATGGTGGGCTCAGCGCGAAAACCTGGACAACAGGTTCAAGGATCTCCTCGACAATGTTGAACAAGTCTGGCTCGGCGGGTTCAAGGGCATCTTCTCTCAACACCGTCATCGCGCTGATCTCATTGCCCAGTTCCAAAAGGCCTTCTCCAAGATTCTCGACAAGCATCTGCCTTCACGTAGGCAAGTTCGAGGGAAAAAGACTAGCAAGTCCCCCAAGATTACCTTGGAGCCGCGTATCCTCGATCTTTTTGTCGGTCTAGGAGATCCGTCTGTGCCGGACAGCGATCTTGAGGAGCCTTTGAACGATCTTCTCTACTTTGTTGTGGACATTCTCCAGTTCCATGGCGAGAGAAACGCCTACGATGAGATTGACTTTGACTCCATGGTCTTGGAGACGTTTGATGCCCTTCAAGCGTATCATACCGCAGCCAAGACTTCGGAGCCCGAGGAAGGCGCACATAGCATTCTGATACTCGACAAGGCTCTCCATGCTTTCCCTTGGGAATCGCTCCCGTGCATGGAGGGGCTGGCGTTTTCACGTGTCCCATCATTGTCCTGTCTGCGTCGACTGCTCCTAGAGCAGCGTGAAGCCCAGGATTCTGATGAAGAGGAAGTCCATCACCGACACGCTGTCTCTCCTGTCGGTGGCACATACATTTTGAACCCCGGTTCCGACCTCAAGAACACTCTCGCCACTTTTGAAAAGCCCCTGAAAGAAAAGTTGGGCGAGTCCTGGACGGGCATCATCTCGCGCGCGCCGACCGAGGACGAGTTCGAGGGAGCGCTCAAGAAGTCAGACATTCTCCTCTACTTTGGCCACGGCAGCGGCGCGCAGTACATTCGAGGCAAGACGATTCGCAGGCTGGAGAAGTGCAAGGCGGCGGCGCTGCTGATGGGATGTAGCTCGGCCTCGCTGCAGAGCGTCGGCGAGTACGAGTGTCACGGCCCCGTGTGGAATTACATGCTCGCGGGGTGCCCCGCCGTCGTGGGCACGTTGTGGGACGTGACGGATAGGGATATTGACCGGTACGCGGGCCGGCTGTTTGAGGAATGGGGACTGATGAAAAGGGGCACGTTTGTTGAGGATAGCTCGAAGAAGAAGGGCAAGGGCAAGGGGCTTTTTGCGTCTGCTACTGCTGCTACGGAGAAGAAGGGCAAGGCCAAGAAGGAGGCGACGAAGGCCGCTACCAGGCGTGGGAACGCGTCACTCGTGGAGGCCGTCGCTAGGGCTAGGGACGCCTGTCGATTTAGGTACATCACGGCTGGCGCGGTATGTGTATACGGCATTCCGGTGTATATTGGCAGGGACAAGGCAGCCGACGGTGCTTAAAGGGGTTTTACTGTTGATTGGTGTCTTTTTCGGGGAAATACTTCGGGAAAAGGGGGAAGTCTTGGTGTTTTGGTGTTTGTTCGTATTCTACCTAGGTTGGGCAGGGAGAAAACCGGAAGCATAGATTAGCATTGCATTGGAACGTGGAGTTTTTGGATTCAACGTTGCTGTCATTGTCAATATGGACGGGTTTTCCGGGAGGTACGGTAGGCATTCAGGGTTCGCGGGATATTGTGACTGGTGTCCCCTCCCCCCGCTGTCGTAACTATAGTGTTTCTTTTGATAATGGAATGGTAGAGGCTGTGATGTGAGCAAATATTTTTTTTTTTCCCCTTGGATGATGGGTCTTTTCCTTGCTGCGTGTGATGTTACGTGTGGGAGTAGCGTACGGGAAGGGGTCTCAATAAACCTGGTGGTTCTATTCTATTCCGTAGTCTGTCTATGTGGTAGGGTATCAGGCAGGAAGGTACTGGGTGAGAGGATGTTGGTGAAGCTTGGTCCTTGGAGACGAGGAGGTGTCCGGGTAGGATGCCATTGGGAGGGATCGAGGTTGAAGGGCCAAGGGAAGAGACGGGATGGGATGGGGTGGGGAGGTGAGGCTTTGGGCAAGGAGGAGAAGGTGTTTCGGTGCTCTTGGTTTGTCTATATTGTCTCTCGCGATATTGGGCCCTGTGTGGTTATCGTAACCGTGTATATCTTGGATCTTGGATCTTGAGGATGGAGTGAATCAGGGGTTTGAGGGGAGAGAGGACGTATATTGGGAGGAGGAGGAAGGGGTAAGGGATGTGGAAATCCTGGTCTGGACGTCGTATACGAAGGGACCAGTCTCTGGGGAGATGGAGTAGGTGGTGTTGGTGTGTGCTTCTGGTCGATTGTTGATGTTGATATTGATGTTGGTGCTTAGGATGAGGGAGGCACGGATATCCAGACGAAAGTAGGTCCGAATCGGATCGCCATAGTGAAATGCCTGACTTGATAGATGGGTTTGTTTTTCTTCTGAATCACTCTCTCTCTCTCTCTCTCTCTCTCTCTCTCTCTCCCGTTGGGTATCATTCCACCGAAATGTCTCCGAGGTAGGATCTATCGAGACAAGGTGTAGATGCAAACAGAAGAATGAAACCTCCGTGAAGATGAGGAAAGGGGATCCCCCAGCCCGTGTTTGGCAGTTGGCATCGAACGTCTGAAGCCTGAACACGCTCACGGTCCGGGATGATAAGATCAAGTTCTCATAGCCCCTGAATGCGTTCCCGTGGAAGAGAGGGGGCAGGCACAGTGAGAAAGGAGTGGAGAGGAAAATGTGAGATGGACAAGTTCTTGTTCACTATTCTCGTCTGTCGTTTGGATGCAATAGCGAACCAGATCCCCGGGAACTCTTTGACGTTTGACGATTTCGATATTAAGAAGCAAGATGAAGAACTAACGTAGATGTAGACAATCTCGAGAGAGAACCGAAGGAGGCTGGCTGATTGCCCGGCCTCGTTGGATATACCTAAACGATGTTTCGATAGGAATAAGGGGTAATGAGTGCCGGATATCTATAGCATTGTCTACTACAAACTACGCAAAGGCGGGGATCGTGAAGATGGAGAGGCTCGCGTGTGTCAAACATTCACTTCTCATGCTCGACCACGCTCATCGATTGGATGTTGTCCCTTTCGGTCTCACAGAAGTTGCGTCCCAGGAAACTGGATCGGGAAGACGGGATGACCGAACGGATTCGGAGGTTCTATTCTTAACTCTAGATCCGCGATGGAGAGTCAGATCTTGGGATCTGTGGTGGTGGGTGTGTGGTATACATGTCACGAATTTTGTTCTGCTACAGATGAGTTGATACTGACAGGAGGAAAGGAGGCTATGGCCCATCTCCAAACCTGACGAGACGGGACGGCCGAGATTCCCGCTTCTGCTCCTGCCTGCTTTGCAGATGAGATGCGCAAGTGGTGGGTGGTGGGTGGGAACCACGACCGGATGTGATGCCTCCACCGTCAGTGCAGCAACGACGATGTCGGATGAGAGAGGAGAGAGAGTCCTGTCTGATCCTGTTATTGGGTGATCCAGAGAGTGAGCCTCTGCACCGACGACTCTATTCCTGTCTACAGAAACAACGGGCATCCCTCGGACTTTGCTTGTTTGGTGACTGATACGCACTCCAAGGAGTGACGTGGACGAGGACGTCCAAAAATCGAGCATCAAGGGGTTCATTGATTCGTCTTGTCTCGCCATTGGTTTCCTGAAAGAGATCCTGTCCAACCCTCCTGGAAGGGTGGCCTCTCCGAATAGCGACCGGGAAACGCGAGCGCCCGCTCTAGTCACGGAGACAAGAGCTCGTCGTCCCTTGGACAACACAATCCCTGCGAAGACGTGGTCGCGAGATGAAGTTGCAGACGGGCCGATGAGAGACACACAGTACGGAGTACGCGGGTGGGATCTCGGGGGGCGATGCTGCCGCTTGGGCAGACGCGGGAGCTTCGCGATGGATGCTATATCAACATCGGTATGGTCCATTAGGGGAAGACACGGTTGAGCCTCGCATCGAGCCTCGTAATGATGAGATGAGGCCTTCCATAGGCTGCCGCGGCCCCAAGGCCCTGCATTCCGAGCCTAGTACGACGGGTACGTCTAACGGCGTGTCCGTGATATGAGGGCAGAGAGATGAAGAGGATGTACGCATACGGAAGAACGCATCTGTGCGTCGCCTACGCCTGTAACTCTCGAAGCGCGTGGGACGTTCGTTCCCAAAGGAGAAAGTCAAGATAGCGGATGGGAAGAAAAAATGCGTTCTGGTCAAAAAATTAGCAACAAGCCCTCCTGGTCCTGTCTGGTCTCACTGCGATTTGAACATCATTTCAACTCATCCGCCGGGCGATCTTAGCTAGCCCTCTTCGGATTCAAGACCGAACGGCTGCGGCTACAGGCAAGGCTGCGGAGGAAAGTTGGTGGCCTGGCGTCCATCTTTTTGAGACTTGAAGAACCAGTCGCCTTGCTTCGTCTCCGCCTCCCTCCGAAGCCTGCCACGCCTGTCAACCCCTTCATTCCTTCAGCCCATCAGCCCGAGCAGCAAGGAGGGATTCGGAGCCTTGTCTCTCGTCTTCAGTAGTGTAGATCGAGGCGTAGGGCCGTGGTTGTGGCGTTAATGTGAAGAGCCAGTCGTATCTTTGGACGTGCGGATGGAGGTGGATCCGCTGGGATTGATTGACGGGGGGGGGCTTGCGCGGGAGAAAAATGGGAATGTCAGGGAATCGGATGGGGAGAGTGGAGAATATCCCCGGGAGGGGTGGGATATACGGAGGTACGTGAAAAAAGGGGGCGTGTAATAAAAGTCTGTTTCCCAGGCTGGTATCGAAACGTCGCATATCCTTACCTGTATCCTTACCTCACGGTTAGCTAAGGCACCCACCCAACCTACTGCGTAGGCAGGTAAAGGAAAGGCACGGTGCCGACAGGGAGCCGTGACGATAATTCGCCAGTAATAAGGGTGAAGAGTGGATTCTTCCGTCGAGCGGCCGGATCACCGGGCGGCAGGTGCACGCTTGAACACTCCAGATTGCACCGAGAAGACGCGCCGTTAGTGCCATTGCATTCGTTGTATCGAATCTACTGGTAGGGCGAGCCGAGGAAACCAATGGCGACTGACTGTTTTCTAGGTTAGCTATGTTAATTATTTGGCTCCGGGACGAAGACCGTTTGGGATCATCGGTAAGGCCTTAGTAAGGCCAGCTAGGGCCTCACTCTCCAAGGCATCTTTGCCCCTTTGGAGCTTCTCACGCTTCTGAATCTGTGCTCTTCAAACTTCGTCCCGTCTAGGTGCGCACGACCGAACCACGTCGACGCTAACAAGGTCTCGTGGGAAACAATTTGTTGTGGGTTCCGCCGACGACGACATTGTAGAAAGATATAATCGCCCCGTCGTCCCTACGCGTCGTCTGCGCCTCCAGTATGTACGTGCTCAATGTTGCTTGCTGCTCAGAGTCTGACGGGATGCGGTCCTGAACATGTTGTCCGTCGGGGACCACATTTGGTCTCCGGAGCTGAGATCGTCCCGTCTTCCAAAGTCAATATCATGCGGGATCGTAAACGGTGGGCAACGGCCGCCTATAAGGAACGCCTAAACGACGGATAGGGCCTTTGCAACGGTTGCCCATCCATCACAGCTGCAAGGCCCTATGTGCTTCCTATTCGTCCCCTGTCTACTGTGTAAGCGGATGGTAGAGACTCCCTTGCCTCAACTCCATGTGTCTCTTTCGAGGCGTATACTTGGCTGATCCAGCCCAAACACGTCCGCCTCGAGCCCAATAATCTGCTTCATCCCCGTGTTTGACAGCTGCATCGATCCGCGAGATGCACGTGTTACGTTACGCCTGAGCAGTTTTTCTCCTTCTGCGGTACGCTCGGTCCAAATCTGTCTAAATTCGCAATGTGACCCGAAGCGAAAGTTCGCGAAGGCGTACGTGGCACACACGCCGACCCCTTTTGGCAGCCATGAGGCAGCCGCGTGGGCACTCCGTAGTAGCTTGTCCCGAAAACCAAGCATGTCGGTCCGTGTTACACAATTCGATACACCACGCCTGGTTTATCGCTTGCCGTAGACTCTCGGAAGAATGCGCCAATCTGGCTTTCGCTGGCAAGTTTACAACGTCGGGTCGAGGTCGGCGGCGGCCGGGCGGCCGGGCGGCCGGCAGACGCCCTTCCTCTACCAAAGCTTATCTACTCACAGGCTAATACAGCACAATATCCTTCGTCGGCTGCACGGATGCTCGGTTGCGCTGCGTTGCTACTGAGCAACAGGGTTCATCAGTAATGGCAAAGGGTCCACCAGGGCGCAAATAAAAAAGGCTGGCCAGCCATGTTTACTTAGAGGCACCGCGGATAAGCCTGACAAGGATTTGATGATTGTCCCTTTGCGAGGTGTCAGGAAGGGGGGGGGAGGCGATGGAGATCATCCGGCGGGGGTTCATGGAGAAGAACAGGCTTGCATGTATGCGTACATCGCTCGATCCATACGTGACCACGCAGGCTGTTGCATCCTTGTTTGATGAGCCTTTCTCGCCGACATCACGCAGATTGCATAGCCAGTCCCCATCATGACCGTACCCAAGCATCGACAAGGAGCAGGGCGGTCGGGGAAAGGCAGAGACTGGGGCGCGCGCGGGATGTGTGCAGTGTACCCGTATCCGTACACAACGCAACGAGATGAGATTTGCGAGAAAAGCTCCGAGGTAAGTGACTGTTTCTTCTGATGAAATCAGCAATGTCACCTCGAAGGAGGGGGTGCGGGCAGATGGC